AAAGTTACATATGCCCACCATGAAGAAACATGCAGCCATCCTCACAATAGGTAGAACACCTGACACTAATTTAAGGTACATGACACACTAGCTGCACACGACATCCAAGCTCAACAGTAGTTGTAAGCCATGCTAGGAAAATCCACAGCAGCTTTGTTTTGTTTTGTTCTTCTTTGTTCTACTCAACGCTGAGTTTGCTTTAGAAACTTGCTTCCAATTCCTCACACACATACACCACTCGAACCTTCCGTAAAATAATCTGTCATAAAGCGAATTACAAGGACATTCGTGGGCTTCATTGCACCGGGTGCGCTGTGAGAGACGCGCGCTTTATTTGATGTTACACTTGAAGTGTGCGGTCTCGCCTGCCCTGTCTGTATTTTCCTTACGAATGCTCTACGAAGTCATCATTTATGTGGTTTGGAATGCGTGACTCTGTTTAAGTGGTTTAATGCACTTGTGTCTCAAAATGGTTTTATGACGCAAAGTTAATGTAAACACAGTTATGTCTTATTAAACGGACAGGACAAACCACATTACATCTTATATTTCAAAAGAGATCCGTGTGTGAATGCATCTTAATAGATCTCCCGCTGTCTATGATGTCATAGTAAAAAAACAACAGTAGGGATGAAGAAAAATCACTCACAGTTCTTGAATGGAAAACGTTCAGATAATCTTAAATACTGAAAGCACTCTTTGTTTGTTGTTTGTTATATGTTTCTATGCTCCTCTTTATTATTTGCTACTTGCTTGTATGTTTTGAAGTTATATTAGTTTAAAAATCTTATAGGCTACAACTGTTTTAATAATTTTTTTCAATTTGTAATTATTTTAAAAAGTACTTAATTACTTATGTAAGGATATGTAAATGTAAGGATTTTAAGATTCTCAAGTCGGTAAATTAATTAATGAATTAAAGGGGGAAAAAGTAGATCAAGAATCATTCTGGAATCGGATCGTGCTTCCCAGAATCGGAATCGGATCGTGAGGTGACTAATGATTCCCACCCCTACTAAAAAGACATCTTTTAGTCCACTGATATAGCTGCATCACTCAGTTGTAATCAATTCCGCAATTGTTTTCTAAAGTCTTGTTTGCATAATTCAGTCATGCCTGTCTTATGTTAGCATGGCTGTTTCTATTTGTAGTTATTTGCATAACTGCCATCATGTTTGAGTGAAATTATTTCTGCATAACAGGCAGAGTAAATGACTCTAGTTTAGTCGGTGGAGGGTTTGTAGGTGAGATGACAGATGACAGATAACCGACAGTAAATGGCTAACTCTAATGCACTCATTTCCCAATCTGTACTCACCATGACCATTTCATTTATGAAAGTGTTGTGCCTTAAAGAGTACTGCATTTGCTTTTTGCACACACCAGCTGATGTTACAGCTCGAGAGTTATTGTTTGGAGCTGAGTTTTCTCTTTTTTATCTTAATAACATAACCATACGAGATAGATTTTTATCAAAGACAGGCCCATCAATTATTCTTTGACATCCCTTCAGATGATAGGCACTTTTTTTTATATCAGTCAGTTTGCGGTTCGGTGGAGAGTGTAGTTCACTTTGCTTGTCTTTTTATGCATGAGAAACCAGCGGGTTCACGCTGGTTCATTCTAGTCTCATGTAGCCAGACCTTTAGCTAGAAACTTTTTGTCTTAAATAATGGTGCGGTGATCAACACAGAAAACTCTGTAAAGGCAGCTGAAAATGTGTATAGTTTGAAATCCAAAACCCTTTTCGTTAACATTGTTCTGTTCATGGATATAGTTCACTTCTCTATATAGTTCACATGTCTTTCATAGAATTGATGGCACTAACCTGAAAAACTTTGGCAAAATCAGTGATTTAGTTAATCAACAAAAGTACTTTTTTTTTCAAATCAAATTGGTAACTTATTTCTAACGTATTTCTGACTAGTTTATCTACATTTTTGTTAAAGGGGTCATATGATGTTGCTAAAAAGAACATTATTTGGTGTATTTGGTGTAATGAAATGTGTTTATGCGGTTTAAGGTTCAAAACACATTATTTTCCACATACTGTACATTATTGTTTCTCCTCTATGCTCCGCCTTCTGAAACGTGTCGATTTTTACAAAGCTAATCGGTCTGAAAAGCAAGGTGTGCTCTGATTGGCCAGCCATCCAATGTGTTGTGATTGGCCGAATACCTCAAGTGTGTGACGGAAATGTTACGTTCCTTACCATACTGTGATGCCGTGTCCCGGGCGGAGCGATGAGACAAAACCAATAAAACCCATTATAAACCAGGCATTTGTTGCATCCAATGGGACATAAATACGGATTATAATGACTTATACTGTCTTTTTACCGCGTAAACATAAAACCATGTCTGCATTTGTGATCGGAGAAATGACAAACAACAAGCGCTACTCTACACTGCTCAAAACTTTTGCAGCTCACAGTATTTTCTGTGTGTCCCGCCACAATCACTGAGTTTTTAAAGGCAGCATGTCAAGTTTTTATAAAAGCTTTTTTTGAAAAAAAGTCAAAACTGCTGAATTTTTTTTTCTGGGCTCGGACCATCTGTTTTATCTGTTTTTATGTAAGCAAATCCTAAATGTCTAAATAAACCTAAATAGTTAATTTAATCATTTACAACCCACAAACTAGTCAATTGTGAAAATATGTAGTTTTGCACATCACTAACCACTACTTAAAGTCAGTAAAGTCAGGCAATCAGATTTGCCGGATCAAGATGCAGTATGCCATTTGAGTGTGAGACCAGGTTCAGGAGTTGTGGACGGGTGACCTTGTACCCTTTGGGGCATTAAGGACAGATCGTTTGAAAGGAGTTTTGGGGTTTTTGTGATTGATAGAATTGTGTTTTTCATGTGACAGCTGTTCCCTGTCTATCTGTCCTATGGCGTCCTCTTCTCTGCCTGATATGTGGCACTAATAACACATTCCACCCAGGGTCACCTTCAACATCTTTCTCTTTCACGGAGTAACTCCACAAAATGCTTTCAGTTCAGACATAAGGACCTGAGACGCACCAATGGAAGTGTCAGAACAAATAGTCTGGAGCAAAGTCTTCATTCAAATTGATTACCATTGTTTTGTCTCCACGCTCATTTCATTTCCTCTGCTACCCACTAACGGAAGGGCTGTTTTGTCGCTGAGGGCAGATGGAGAGTAATCAGGGTGCAATTTGAGCAGCGAGGGGCTCAGGGCTAGCCGGAATGGCAGCTTTGTCTGAAGGGTTTGTGGGTAATGGTGGTTAACTGGTTGTAAGGTGATTTGCTCGGAGTGTCTGATTTGGGGGCTTGGTGCCGGCCGTCGTCTGGGCTGTCAGTGAGATGCTTAGTGGTGTCAGAGCTAATGTGAGGCCATCCAAGCAGAGCGGTTAATGTCGATCTCCCTGCAGACCCGTGTCTGTCACGGCTAGGGAGCATCCTGTCAGCCCATCAAATCTGTCCCAGCATGATAAACGCAGCCCAACAGTTCAGCCATTTATGACCACCTGGTCTGACTACCCAAAATGAATAGATGTGCTTGCTTATTTTTTTATGCAGAGATAATGCCATATTTATTAAAAGAGAAAATTAATGTACAACCTCCCATTTGAGGTAACAAATCCAACACTTCCACAGAAAAAAAATGTTTCACGTCTTTAAATGTTTATCATCTCTAGTCTCATTTCACCCTCTGAAAATAAAATATTTTCCTTTGTGTTTTGCTGCATTTGCAATTAATGCATTTTATAAATTTTTCATTTTAGCACGTTATATTTGACTGATTAGCAAGTTATAGCTAATGCTCAACCTTTTTAACATAGCTACTTATGGAGAATAGATGTAATAATAAAACTGGTTGGCTACACGTCATTATACACATTTTTTTTAATATTGCAAAAATCCATTCCATTTTTTCAGACTTTATGAAATGATGAATTAAAACGTTAGAATGCATTTGAAGCTTTACCACAATTAAATGTTCTCCAAGGATTCTTTAAGCAACCCTCTGTGCTTTGATAAATGTTCCTGTTCATTTTCCTTGTATGTATCTCCCAGAATGCCTTTCTCTTTCCCTCTCCACAGAAAAATTAATTAATGTGGGGCTTAACCATACTTGTACATGTGAAATGTTAATATGCATTATGTATGGTTGCAGTGTTGCAGTTAATTCATATTTCCCAGCAATTCATTGCCCCTTCCATATTTCTCAAGCTCTCATAATATACTTAATGTTTGCCTAATGAATTGTTCATGTTAATGGATGATGCCAGAAATGCACTGAAAAGCACATAAATAACAAATCCTGGATCTCATTCACTATCCAGGCATATGCAAACATTTGTACTGTAATATGAATTATTAATGTTATCAATAAATACGGAATATAAAACATAAGGATTATCTGCTATTGATATATCAACTTCTCATACACACACACACACACACACACACACACACACATATATATATATATATATATATATATGGTTTTCAGTCATGGACATTATTGATAACTCAGATAAATGTCATGGGTCTTCATATTCTGTTTTTATTTATCTTTTAATTCTTTGTTGATCAGTACATGTAAGTGCATGTAACATCTTTTACTGAGCTCTGCCAAATATGATTTGTTTAACGACAGCCCCTTATTGCAATTATTAGCAGATAATCCTTATGATGTTTTGAATTCTGTTCCAAAGGGCTCGACCTGTGTCCACTAGCTGTCTGTCACGTCCCATAAAGAGAAACATGGCAGTGACTTTCTCCATCACTCCTGAACCACAGGCAATACCTCATAGCACTGAAATATGATCTCACTAAGCGTGTCAGATGCCCAAGTGAGAAGGCTTCTCCTGTTTTGTGCAGTGACCTGACATTTATCATTTGTCATAGCTTTGCTATTATGGCCTCGGTAACGCTGACCATGCCTCTTTTGTCTATTAGCTAAAGTGTTGTGGCTGCTGGGGAGCTAGAGGGGGTCTTAAAGTGTCTACTAAGTGCAGGATGCACTCATGCATCACAAAAGTGCTCCCCAATGCAGGCTTGTTCATTTATTGGACCTTTTTTTTCTTCCACTGCAGCCTCTTACATCTCATGTTGGGATGCTTCATGGCACAGATGTGTGATTGGGCTCTTTTATCACCTTGTTGTAGCTTCAATGGCCCCAAAAAGTGTTTGGAAACTTTTTATACAGGTGCATCTCAATAAATTAGAATGTCGTGGAAAAATTCATTTATTTCAGTAATTCAACTCAAATTGTGAACCTCGTGTATTAAATAAATTCAATGCACACAGACTGAAGTAGTTTAAGTCTTTGGTTCTTTTAATTGTGATGATTTTGGCTCACATTTAACAAAACCCACCAATTCATCTCAACAAATTAGAATACTTCATAAGACCAATAAAAAAAACATTTTTAGTGAATTGTTGGCCTTCTGGAAAGTATGTTCATTTACTGTACATGTACTCAATACTTGGTAGGGGCTCCTTTTGCTTTAATTACTGCCTCAATTTTTCACTCAAATTCTTGAATTGATTTTGCTTGACAATCCTCATAAGGCTGCGGTTCTCTCGGTTGGTTGTGCATCTTTTTCTTCCACACTTTTTCCTTCCACTCAACTTTCTGTTAACATGCTTGGATACAGCACTCTGTGAACAGCCAGCTTCTTTGGCAATGAATGTTTGTGGCTTACCCTCCTTGTGAAGGGTGTCAATGATTGTCTTCTGGACAACTGTCAGATCAGCAGTCTTCCCCTTGATTGTGTAGCCTAGTGAACCAAACTGAGAGAAAATTTTGAAGGCTCAGGAAACTTTTGATACACCTTTGCAGGTGTTTTGAGTTGATTAGCTGATTGGCATGTCACCATATTCTAATTTGTTGAGATAGTGAATTGGTGGGTTTTTGTTAAATGTGAGCCAAAATCATCACAATTAAAAGAACCAAAGACTTAAGCTACTTCAGTCTGTGTGCATTGAATTGATTTAATACACGAGTTTCACAATTTGAGTTGAATTACTGAAATAAATTAACTTTTCCACGACATTCTAATTTATTGAGATGCACCTGTATATAATTTAACAAAATATCAACCCAAATGACATATATCTTTAATTAATGCATAAACACACCTTTCAAGCAAGCATTTTGCATAAAGATGATTTACATGGATCTAATGCATCCTCTGAAAATCCCGTTGAGGTCAGCTGGGTTAAAGTAATTGTAAAAATGAGTCTGAGAAATTAGCTTTGAGTTGACTGATATTATGTAATGCAATGAAATTCACACATATAAAAGTATTTTATAGTATCCAAAATACTCTAGAGCATGTGTAAATTGACAGTCGTTTCCTATTTAGCACTCTTGCATTGTGAGCTTTGAATTTAAAGTATAATTTCTTAATGTTTCCTCAAGTATGAGCCAAGCTTCTCACCAAACTTTTAATTACCTCAGTTCAGTTTTTGACTGGACTTTTAAGAAAAATAAGAAAGTGAAAAGCTCCACTTTCAGGTAACATTTTGCTATTCATACGTTTCGCATTTGCACTCATTTAATGAAAGCTACAAGGACACAGAGGCCATTACCGTGTCCCACACTGAGTGCTCCCGAGCAAGGTGTTTTTCTTTGTGTGAAATTGCCTAAGATTTCCATAATCTTTGAGAGGTGAAGTGACTTGTAAAATGAGGATTGATGTGTCCATTTGTGGCGAAGCGGTCTAGGCTGGTGGAGAGGTGCGTCTGCCTCCCTCGCCTTTTATACGTTACAACACAGTGTGATTCAGCCACATTTTAGAATTACATGAAACTTTATTCATAAACCCACGTTTCTCATGGAACTGACAGCAAGGTTATGGCCCAGAGGGCCTCCATTAGATTGTGATGAGGAGAAAATCAAGTTTTCAACATACAGAGTAGAAAAATCAATCAAAACAGACAAAATTCAGTCCAACGGATTATCACAAATTGCTGTTGCCAGACACTATTCATCAATGCCGAGCTCTATTGTTTGTTCAGATGTGCAGTGCCGCAGAAGTTTTATTGAATGAGTCACAAACATGGAAGCGGGGAGGGACTGACAGAAATAGGTGTTGGAAAAAGAGCAGCCCAACATTATGAAAAGCTGTGGACCACCTTCTGAGACTCCATTTATCTGCAGGTGGGACTGGAAGAAAAGACATTTGTTATCTAGAACAGTAGAATTAAACATGAGCATGAAATGAAAGAGCAGTATAATTTTAGAAGGTATCTTTCAACCTGTAATTTTAGCCACCTTCAAAGGTCTCTCCATCTTCCTTCCCCAGAGTCTGGCGCTTCAGACAGTTTTAAATCTCCGTCTGCAGGACTGGCTTTGATTTGATATGATTCATATTTGGAGGGCTTGTTTATAATGCATTGTGCTGGAAAGGAGACCCCACCCCTTTTAGGTGTGTGTCCCATTAATCAAAAGAGAAATACAGTAAATGCAATTACTATCAGAGCGACCGCTTCACAAACATTTGCATTATATGCAATTTCTAAGCAAAGAGCTGGAGAGGAACTTGGATATGGGGACATTATAAGTATAGTGTGTTATGAATATTAAATGAGAAGATTTATTTTGAAGCTGAATGAACAGGTTCTGAGTGCGTTTAAACAGAGAACTTGTATGTATTTATTTATTTGTCAGAAATGGGGCATTAGGAACCCTTCTGGCTAAAAATTATATATTGGAGTCCTAGATATGGTAATTGTAGTTAACTAAAAATAAAAACAAGTATTTTTCTTACTTAAAATAATAACATAGTAAAATAAACTAAAAAATTTTTTCATTTAGGTTAACTTGATGTACTATAATAATTCAAACTAAAAATAAGAAACTATATTTAAAAAAAAAAAAAAACGTACAAAGAAATAAAAAGTTGTGTCTGCTCAATTGTGCTCCTTCCTGCAAAAAAATGATCTCTATGAAGAATTTCAGTCAGGTTTCAGGCCCCACCATAGCACAGAAACTGCACTTGTTAAAATTACAAATGACTTGCTTCTTGCGTCAGACCAAGGCTGTGTCTCATTGCTAGTTTTACTTGATCTTAGTGCTGCATTCGATACTATAGATCATGACATACTCATAGATCGATTACAAAACTATACAGGTATCCAAGGGCAGGCTTTAAGATGGTTTAGATCCTACCTGTCCGATCGCTACCACATTGTTCATTTAAATGGGGAGTCATCTCAATTATCACCAGTAAAACATGGAGTGCCACAAGGATCTGTCCTAGGTCCTCTGCTATTTTCGTTATACATGTTGCCACTTGGTAATATTATTAGAAAATACGGGATTAGTTACCACTGTTATGCCGATGATACTCAACTATATATCTCAACAAGACCAGATGAAACTTCTAAATTATCTAAGCTAACAGACTGTGTTAAAAATTTAAAAGATTGGACGACCAATAAGTTTCTCCTATTAAATTCGGATAAGACAGAGATATTACTTATTGGACCAAAAGACAGTACAACGAATCTCGTGGATTACAATTTGCAAATAGACGGATGCACGGTTACTTCCTCTACAGTCAAAAATCTGGGTGTTATATTAGATAGCAACTTGTCTTTTGAAAATCATATTTCCCATGTTACAAAAACGGCATTCTTCCATCTTAGAAACATTGCCAAGTTACGAAACATGATACCTGTTTCTGATGCAGAAAAGCTAGTTCATGCATTCATGACCTCTAGACTGGACTACTGTAATGCACTGCTAGCTGGTTGTCCTGCATCTTCAATAAACAAGCTACAGATAGTCCAAAATGCAGCGGCTAGAGTCCTTACCAGGTCAAGAAAATATGATCATATTACCCCAATTTTACAGTCTCTGCACTGGCTACCTGTTAAGTTCCGTATCAGTTACAAAATATTATTACTTGCCTATAAGGCCCTTAATGGGTTAGCTCCTGCGTACCTAACTAGTCTTCTACCACGCTACAATCCATCACGCTCCCTAAGGTCACAAAACGCTGGACTTTTGGTAGTACCTAGGATAGCAAAGTCCACTAAAGGAGGTAGAGCTTTTTCGCATTTGGCTCCCAAACTCTGGAATAGCCTTCCAGATAACGTTCGGGGTTCAGACACACGCTCTCTGTTTAAATCTAGATTAAAGACACATCTCTTTGGCCAAGCATTCAAATAATGCATCTCATAATCTTTTACTGCAGTCATAATCTTTTACTGCAGTTATATCTAATCAAATGCACATTATTATTCATTAGTTTGGGTTAAACAAATCATTTTTGCTTGGTTGGAACAGCAGCTACGCTAATTATGTTTGTATTTGTTTCTCTGTCTTTTGCCACGGGATTAACATCCCGTGGTAACTAGGATTCACACAAGCTTCAGTCTGGATCCAGAACACCTGAGAAGAGATGATACAAC